CAAAATTTAACAGTTGATGAGCATTTAAATAATTTAAAAAGAGAATTAGAACAACTTATGAAATATAATCCAATTCATATTAATATTCATGGAGGGCGAGATAACTGGACATTAGAACAACAAGAAGCATTTTTTCAAGGAGCATTAGAATTACAAGGTAAATATCCAAATGTAACATCATCACATGAAGTATGCTTATATATTCTATTCAATTTTATTAAAAGATAAATAAATATATATATTTTTTTTTTGTTTAGACTCATCGTGGTCGTTCTTTATTTAATCCAACACTCACATTACATTTAATTACTCGTTTTTCAAATCTTCGTTTGACTGCTGATTTTTCACATTGGTTAGTTGTATGTGAACGTCTTCTTAATCATCCATCTGATATAGAACGTATGCGTCAAATAGTATCACGTGTTGATCATATTCATGCTCGAGTAGGTTCTGTTCAACATGCTCAAGTTAATGATCCTCTTATTAATGCACCAAAAGAAACTGAACTTATGCAAAATTGGTGGCAAATGATTTGGACTGAACATATGAAACAAGGTAAAACAATAACAACATTGACACCTGAATATGGACCAATACCATATGCTATGTCAAGTGATATTGATATATGGAAATTAACAAATCAAGAAATGGAACGACAAAGAAATAATTATCAACAATGGATTATTCAGAATCAAGATTAATATTAGATTTTAACTAAAAAAATAATCACGTAAACATATTCTTGATAAATTGACCTACTTGAAATAGTTAAATATAATAGAGTTTATTGCAGAATGATGAAAATATTCATAAAATTTCTTTTATTAAGTTTTCGTTATGTGTTTGAATGTAACTAAAATAAGACAAAGAATTCTCTAAGATTTTCTATGCTCAATTTTTATATAGTAGAAGTAATTATATTAGAAATTTTATTTAACTATACACAGTAAATCGATTGAGACTAACATATAATCATGCAATTATAATTTTAAAGCCTTTCGAGATCTCTGATGATATAAATAAATAATTGTTTGTCATTTCATAATCGTTCCTTTTTTAGGATTCTCATCCAAATTTATGAACATTGTAAATTTTATTGTTTGCCACTGTTGCAATATTTCAAATTGAACTAGAAAAATGTACCCTAGTGGAAGTGCTTACTAGCGTAGCGTACCTCTTCAGGTGTTTGACTGCTTTTCGACCGAGATTATGTTTATTTGATGAGTATTGCTAAGAAATACAAGAGTCTAGAATGATTTGGTTTTCTGAGCCTTCATTCTTGGCAAATAGACATTTCGCTGGGTTTTTCACCAAAAAAGATGTAGTTTCTCTCAGCTTACGTGAAAAATTGACTTTCTAGTTTCGACTTCAAACGTTACATGAGCAAAGTTCTTGATGAGATTAGTTCATTGGGCAAGTTAGAACCTTTTTAGTATCTTCTCTCCTAAGATATTGAATATTCGAAATTCTCTCGTGCGTAAAAGCAAATTTCTTTCGGATGTTTGCATATCCAGGAAGGAAATAATAGAAAATTTATAATTTATCCAATGAACTACTAATCTCAATGAGAACTTTAGTCGTGTAAAATTTGAAGTTGGAACTAGGAAAGACAATTTTTTACATAATCCGAGAGAAATTACAGCTTTTTTGTTGAAAACCCCAGTAACATGTCGATAGTTCAAGAACAAAGGTCTGGAAAATCACACCTTTATCCACTTTTCTATTACTCACTAGTATTCATCAAGTGAATATTGTCTCGTTCGAAAAGCGATTTGACACCTAGGAAGGTGTCCTCGTCAGTTTAGAATATCTGAATAAGTACTATTTCATCTTTATGTCTCCAATACTTTTGAACAAATGACTATTTAAACATGAGATAGCTGTAACTGCTCAATTATATAATCTGTAGAAATATTTTCAATGCAAAGCGCAGAATATTTATTAGGTGCCAGTCAAACATTTTATGGATATCTTCAAGTACCATGTACTAAGACAATTTTCGGCAGTGTACTGAACTAAATATTTTTAACTACAGTTATATCAGTAAACAGAGATCCAGAACTCAATACTTTCGCTAGTGTAGACGACTTTTGTGTAAAAGAAATAAAGTCAACAGGCATGTCCAACTCATTCTGACTATTCTTTTGAGTTATTATTTGTAGTATTGATAGTAAAATTTAATCAGCATAACCACTGCAATCGAATATAACATCCTTCGATTTGGGAAAAAAAAAGTTCTTTTTCTTGTCAATGCTTAAAATGGATTTTTTAATGAGCATATTGCAGTTATAGTACATTAGTCAATTGAAATACTGTATGTACAACGATTGTAAAATTAACAAATGCATTAGAAATGATGAACAACATGTAACAGATATTGCTCGAAGTTATCATGAATACATCAATAAACTGAAAAATGATTCGATTAATAATAAAAAAAATAAATAGATACAAATCATTTCAAGTATCATGTCGTCTCGGTAAGACAATTTTCATGAAACTATTATTTTCAAATAAACAATATACAAGAAAAAACAACAAACTATTCACATGTACATATCACAATAGTCACTATTGAGCAGGTTAGTAATGTATTTCCTAGTGGTTCATATTCATATCACCGTTTTCATGGTCATCTCGACGACATTTTGCTTACGACGAAACTATATCAACTGTAATTCACCAGTTGGGTTTATATTGAGCCCACAAAAAAGTCTCTAAATAAGACTGGAAAACGCCTTAAATGTGAGTGTGAATGTGGGTGTGCATTTTTTCTTCAGTCATACTCACACATCCGCAACCATATAGACATCCTTGGCGGAAATGATCAAGTACTCTCAGTATCTTAAACAAAAAGTCAATTACAAAAAATGCTAATTTTCGTTCGAACATCAATCGATGCTATAGGTTTAGCCCAACTCTCTCGAATGTTCGTTACGAAACGCAAGCATGAGTTATAGTAACACAAATTTTGTAATGCTAATGTGTATACAATGTATAGTTTACCATCGTAGTTGTATCATTAGTCATGCAAATATTTTTTTCTAATAATTGATTAGAATGTTTACGTCATATATATCGTCTTTATGATGACATTTACAGAGTTATAAACGTAGTTTTCTGATACAGGTTTATATTATCAATTTTGTGAAAATAAAAATACAAAAAAGAAAAGATAAAGAGGTTTTTCAAGGTCATCTATTCAACGATATTCTTCTTTTCTATAGAGACAGGACAATTTTCATATAATTCTTTTTCAGCCATTTTCATCATTTTGTCAGACTCCATGAGCCACGGTACCAAACGTTGTCTTATTGAATGAATAATCGGATTTTCTGAATGAAAAAATAAACCCATATAACGTGCCATATTTACAACACGTTTTGTTCGATTAAAACGTTTTTTATAATATTCTTGAAATGCTGGTTCCATTTGAAAATTATATTTTTCTAAACACATTGCAAGTGATATAGCATCTTCAATTGCCATATTTGCTCCTTGTCCAACATAAGGTAATGTTGCATGACATGAATCCCCTAATAAACAAATTCGATTACGATGCCAACCATTACTACGATGTTGACGATAATATAATCCAAAATGAAGTAACCGCTGTTTATCTGTTGCTGTTACACATTGATGAACAGGATGTGATTGAGGATATCTTGTTAAAACTCGATTTAATTCACGTTGACTATTCATTTTTGTCCATTCAGCATCATCACTTATTGATGGAGGCGTAACTGATGGATATGTAGCAGCCCACATCAATTGTCCACTATTACCAGCTCGATAACTAAGAAATTCTCCACGATTAAAATATTGTGTCAATGTATTTTTTGCTGTTATTACTGGATTAATAGATGTTTTTTTATCAATATTATCTATCATACCATAGAAAATATTTTCTTTTGAATGTATTGCTGGAGCTGTTTCAGTAAAGATTTGTTTAACAACTGTTGAACGTATTCCATCTGCACCAATAACCATATCAACTCGAACTGGTTTTTGTTGTTTTTCATTGTCAAATGAAATTGTAACACCATTATTATCTTGTTTAATATCAATCACATTATGAGAATAAAATAATATACCATTCTTTTCTAGAGGCTCTTTTAATGTATCAACAAGTTCAGAACGAAGAGCACCACCCATATAATAACCAAATCGCTTTTCATATTCAGCTACTTTATCGGATGCAACTACTACCTCACCATTGTCATCAATAATTTGCCATTTAAGAAAAGGCTGAAGAATTTTTTCGATTTGATCTTTAAAACCAATATGTGCAAGCGATATCTGTCCATTGGGTTGAAGACCAAATGCTGCTCCAGAGGTTGGAATAAAATAAGGCAAACGTTCATATAATGTAACAGACATTCCTATTTGTTTTAAAGCATTAGCAACAGTCAAACCACCGATTCCGCCACCTATTATGGCTACTGAACGAGCTGTTGCCATACTTACATTGAATTATTTAGTATGTTCAATAGTTTATCTAACAAAGAGAAAATACATAGAAACGACAATAGATTCGAACATCTAATTTTTAAATCATACATAATATTTCTATAATTTCTTAGGCAACTTTTTCGATACAAAATTATTTTTTTGCAATGATTTCAATATTCATCGTTTTAAAATATGGTTTTATATTGAATTTCGATCACAAACAAAATTTAAAGACACATGAATTCTAATATCCCATGACGTCAATAGAGCTAATTTCCAGATAGGATCATAGTCAGTAGAACGTTTTGATTCTACGCTAGGCTCAATATGTTTTTTATACGATCCCAAATCTGAAAGTTAAAAAGGAGAAGAGTCAAGTTTTTGAATGTAACTTACAAGGAAAAGTCTTCAACTGATTAATCGCTTTTGCGTTGAGACTATATGCATTATGTAGGTATAAATGAGCTATGAATACCATGAAAAACGTTCGGGCTGTTAGCTTATTGCTACAGAGATATTGCAATTTTACGGTATGTTTTTAAATGAATGCCATGGTCTCTCTCAGGAACACCAAAGAAATGATTTTCGAATTTCGGCTTGAAACTTTGCGCAGAAACAGGGCTTACTGAGAATGGTTATTTGTGAAAGATTCAGATCTTTTGATCGATTCCTATCCTGAAACGGGAATATCAAATCTTCTGGTTTATCCGAATGAAGTTATCATAGTTGTATCCACGGATAGCAACAGGAAAAAGATCTGACACTTTTACAAATAACCATTCTCGGTAAGACCTGTTTCTAGGTAAAGTTTCAAGTCGATATTCTAAAATCATTTTTTCTGGGATTCCTGAGGGGGACCACGGCATTCATTTAAAAACATACCGTAAAAGTGCAATATCTCCGTAGCAATAAGCTAGTAGCCCGAATTTTTTCAGGGTATTCATAGCTCATTTTTATCTACATAATGCATATAGTCTCAACGCCAAAAGCGATTGATCAGTTGGGGACGTTCCCTCGTTAGATGAAGTACAATTAGTGTCTCTTTTATCGAACTCACATTTTGCAACATGTAACAGGCTTGTGTACCTCATCATCAACAGCGCGATCAGTGCAACTCGCATAACCGAAAAGAAAGATCGTTGAATGTCTTTCGATTATCTATGCTCGTCAGTTTCGTTTCGGCAATTATTCCTTAGATTCATTGTTTCTGAATACTTATGATATACATTCCTATATATACTATCTATGTAATTATGATGTGTGTATCATGAATAACGACCTCGCTTTTATTAGTTACTAACCTAAGCACTACTTTATTTAGCTACCAGCTTAGTTCCTAAGTTAACCTGAGAACTAACTTAACTTAGAAGTTTATCTGGCTATTCACTTAAGTTAGTTATTAACTTGACCCATCAGTATAATTGCTTAGTATAATAAGTATAAAAAAACAATATTAGGACGTCTCAAATACAGCGGGTATCATCTCAGAATTTCGCTGGCAGGTTCGATCATTGAAATGAGAATTGTCGAATTTCGATGAAGAGCATATTGACAGTGTAACAATGGCGCAGATGAGAAAGAATTTCGCAACTTGGAAAAAAAACTGTACATTTAAAAAAAGGTGAACTTTAATGTTTATCGAAATGCGACTTTCGAAAGAAGAGATTCTGATTTGCTTTACTCGAAACAAGTTTAATGACGAAGCAGAAATGTTTCAGAAAAAACAGATGCTGCATCGTAAGCTCCTGCACTGTTGGAAATCTCTATTAGGTATATAATCTCAGGTGTCGAAGGCAGAGGAAAATTTCGTCAGATTTCAATAAATAGGGCTCCAGTTTTTTCTTACCAGTCTTCTTCATTTGTAATGAAAGATAGACACTTCTAGTCGTTGGCAATCTATGATTCAATATTTACTTGTACAAAAATAGGCTGCGGTGAAAAATATTGGCGTTTCTACAAAAAAAAGTAACGTGTTACTCCAATCTATCAATCTGACGGAAGTAAAAAGGTTTTTGAGCCTACGCTAAACTCTAAAGCGCTAATCTGAAGGAAGACTAAAGCTTAACCAAGCCTTGTGGCTCCATCGCCTATGCTTACTGGATATGAGTTGCTAGTAAATACAATGTGCACTGACCTTATAACAAGGCGTCATCTGCTGGAAGAAAATGAAAGCTCAGTAGTAATAGAACATTTCTACATTAGAGAATGTCTATCTAAACCTTTATCTATTCAATATAAGATGAGTTCGATTCTACCCAGGCTTGGTGAATGCACGGTCTATGAATACAATGTTGCTTGGAAGAGCAAAATTTGAGCATTCCTTAATAAAATTTTTTCTAATAATTTTTTTAAAATGATTAATTAATCAACCTAAATAAACTCATAAGCAACTCAGTTAGAAAATATTTCATTAGTATCAATATCATATGACACAGACAGTATAGAAGTGTTTTATAATTTTGCGTTGTTTGATAATAACCAAATGAATTAACTGCTAGTAAATACCAATCGATGACGCTCAATCAGCTGTGTTTGATTGTAACTTTTTTCAAAAAATCCATAATAAAATAATCATCACTTTTCATTAGAAATATATTCATTATGATATTTCTTTAGTAGTGCAGAAAATTCGAATTATTGAATTCAAAAGGACAAAATCATTTTTCAATGTCTATTGATAACCAATCAGAATTCGAATTTGTATAATCAACTATACTAGCGTGTTTGAAGTATAAGTTCATACAAAATGTCGTCAAATATAATAACTGATCAACAATGTTTAGTCATTGATGACAATGATAATCCACCCTCATATCAAGATGCAACAAATCAAGGTAAACAATTATCCTTTACTATATATTAAATAAAGAAATATTAATTTAGGCTATGGAACATTCATTAATTCATCTAGAACAACCAATACTTTATCGTATCCTTATTTATTTGATTCTCAACAACCTACAGTAATAATACTTGGCGGATGTCCAGCTTGCAAAGTTCGCGTGTTATTTTTTTTTTGTTTTGAATTATTTTAATCATAGAATACATTTTTAGGTTGGCATGTTAGATACTGAATTTACATGTTTGGGTCTATGCTGTGCAATATTCTTTTTCCCAATCGGAATTCTTTGTTGTTTAGCACTTCGACAACGACGGTGCAATTTTTGTGGAGCTATTTTAGATTGAAATATACAAAAAACACGATTTTCTGTACATATATATGTAAATTTTATTCATTATCAATATCTTTTTTTTATACGAATTATTATAATATAATCATGCCGATTATTTCGTATTGAATTATAATGTGAAAATAAATGGTCACTAGCAGAATTCATTTTCATGTTATAAACTGAATCTTGTGTATGGAAAATTTGCTAAAGCATTAAATACTTAAGTAAAATACTTCTTTTACATAAGTAGAGTAGCATCGTTCGAACCATGATATAAATACATGTTAGATTTTGATTATTTGATAATACTAACATTATTGGTTCGATCAAAAATATGAACTATTCTTTGACATTGACATTTGTTGGATAATCGTATAAGTATATCCTGAAACTATTCTTAATACAATAGACTAATCTAACGAAATAAATGATAGATGTTGAGTAATGAATGACTAAATTAAAACTTTTATTAAAATGTTTTTTGCTTTGTTCTTTTTATTTCGTTGCATATAAATATAGTATAAATATTTTCTTCAAATATTCTGAAATGAAAAATCTAACTATTTTATTAAGGTAACTCTTTGACAATTTGAAAGAGTAGTACGAATTTATAATATAGCATTTTTGAAACTTGTATTAATAATTTTGCAGTAGAACAAATTGTGAATGGAATCAAAGAAAAAGAGTTTTATGAAGACTTTACAAAATAAACTAACGAAGAAACATCAACAATGAATACCTTTCGTTTGGGCTCACAGATTAGAGAAAAAACCCAAAATAATTCGTTGCGTTGTTGCTTTGTTACAGAAAAACTAGCATAATTAGTTTCCGTAAAGATGATACTACTGTATTTTCTATTAAGAAGCATTTTTATATGTCAACAAATGAACATTTTCACGAGCTGATATTTTTAAAAACTCATATTACGAGTGTTAGCGAAGAAAAAAATCTATCATTCACTTCGACACCTACTTCTTCATGGAAAGGTATTAAAGAGAATAGAACTCACCAGATCATAGGAGATAAAATATAAGGGATGTCCCATAAGTTCTTAAACGATTTTAAAATTCACTGTTCTCACATTCAATAGAAGCAAACTCTTTGAAACTTTAGCAGATTATTGGACATATATGATACTACATAACTGCAAGGTTTAATGTCTATAGCTTTCACTATGGATGAGAAATTATAACAACACTGCTGCGTACAATTTTTTTTGAATTTTTCAATATAAAAAATTTCATATAAAAACGATAGAAAAGTTTTTATTCTAAGGGCTTCTTTTATTAACGTGTGTCAGAACAGAAACTGCCAGACGTGTGATCTACGCAAAACATCTGGGGTATGTTGAAAGAGAAACTATGAGGACGAGAATACAGCAATGCTGAACAATTAAAAATCGATACGAAAAAGAAAATCGGACCAATTTAGTATATCTTCATGTTAATGAGTGATAGATAAAATATCATTACGATTATAATTACTTATCAATCAAAGTTATAATCAAATGCAGAAATATTGATGAGTTGATTTTTTTATTCTTTTTTATCTTTAAGATTTGTATTGTTATTAAAAGAATAACCAATATGATGAGAAAAAAATTTAAAATAGAACATGGCAGTATTGTTACAGTTTCTCATCCATAGTGAAAGCTATAGACCTCAAGCTTTGTAGTTATGTAGTATTATATATGTCCAACAATTTGCCTAAGTTTCAAAGAGTTTCCTTCTGTTGAATGCAAGAACGATAAATTTTAAAACCGTTTCAGAACTTTCGGAACACTCCTATGTTATCCATACAGAAAGAAAACTAGTGTCCTAGAACTGGAAAACTTAAGTAAAATGTGTCTATTGTAGAAGAAATGTGTACTTCTGTGATGTCCTTTTGTTGTTTTTGTCATTCTTTCGCATATCTATTATGCTGAATGAACATAAAAATGAGATAAAGACAAAACAAATTCTAAGTAAACTGTTATTTTCACCCGAAGATGTAAGAAAATGTCAATGATGATGGGCAATCATCCATTGATTTACCACGGTTATTATATAGTCAACATAAAAAAGTGTGAACTGATCAAATTATAACTTTAAGAAATAATTAATATCAGTGTTCGTGAACTTATCGCGATATATACTATTACATTGAGAGCTACTATAGACACAATGAATATGTACAACAGGCTTATTTGTCAGTTAAATCAATGGTTAATAATAATAATTATGCTAAATTAAGAAAAGTGGAATACAAAAATGAAAAACAACGAGCGATTAACAATAAAGAAAAGAAAAAAATGTCTGTTCGAAACGCAGAAACAAATAAGACAGATGGTTTCATTGATGATCGATTGTTCTTGGAACACCACTAATCAACTAAAAAATTTTTACTGTACGCCTTTTGTGCCAGTACAATGAGGCTAAATAACGTATGTGAAGATCGTTGGCAAATAGTAGTTTAAACACATATGTATGTCTTACCTTTTTCGTTTAGTTTCAATGTTAAACATGAAATAACACACAATATTTTATAATTATCAACTTGAACAGAATCTATTTGTTTATCTATGATTTGATTTGTTTTCTGCTAACTTTATTCATAGTAATTCTTTGAAGTAAAAAGGAATATCGCTTAAATTAGATCATTTTCTTTCAATTTCTAAATACACTATTAAAAGACGAGTTATCATGAAACCAATAAAATCACTGAATGCAGTCAAAGATCTGCGAGAAACCAAATTTGTTTTGCTTTACTTTTTCGCTTCAACCTTTTATGATATTGATATGTTTTACTTCGTTTGGTTCTTTAAATCCTTTTACTCACCGATGTACTAAAGGAGCTAATGCCTGTTCAAAAATTAAATGGCCGAGGGTATTTTTGGAATAACTCTAGAACGAAAAGAGCTAGAGAGATGCGATTTTCACCATTATGTAGGCATATGAGTACTCTATATATTCTCAAAGACATGCTGAGAATTCTTGCAAATTCAGAGTTTCATCAGTGACAATCCTATCAAAGAACACCTCGCAGTTTTTTAAAGTTCCACAAAGACCTATATATCTAAACTATGCAAAAGATAGCGCAAATGCTCCTCTACAAAATGACACAAGGTCTACCTCTCTAGTTTTTGTCGTTCTCAAATAACATTCATTTTCCTGGAACCTATGCTAGTCCTTTTTCTCAATAGGCTAATATGCAAGTATTCATAATAAAAGTACATTGTTGATGGTAGTTTCTTCTGTAAAAGTGGCTCTCCTAGATAGCGAGCAGCTTTATTAATTGAGAATGAAGTATTAGACTATGTAGAACGATCATGAATTCAAATTATTTCATTGGAGTGTAAAAGTATGTAAAAAAATGTAAGAAAAGCAAAAAACGCATAATTTAATCGATGGCATATAAGAAAACGTGTGTTATTGAGGAATACGAGCGTTTAATCCTTGTGTAATATATTTATTTAGTTCGCGTCGTCCCAGTAGTGTCAAACTTGAAACTTGAATTCAATTGAAATTTCAACTTTCAACTGTCAAGTCGTTTCGCGACCGGTCCTTTTCTGGGCAGTCCTTTCGCGGCACCCCCACCAGCTGCGATGTGATATGTGTCGTTTCGTGACCAGTCCTTTCGCCGCACTCTCACCAGCTGCGATGTGATGTGTGTCGTTTCGTGACCAGTCCTTTCGCCGCACTGTCACCAGCTGCGATGATGTGTGTGTGAGAATGCGGGTTAGTGGTGATTCTTCAAAGTGCTGCCCATTTGAGGCTTGAAAATTGAAACTTGAAACTTGAAACTTGAAATTTCAATTGAATTCAAGTTTGACATATATGCCTCCTCAATAGCACACGTTTTCTTATATGCCATCGATTAAATTATGCATTTTTTGCTTTTCTTACATTTTTTTACATACTTTTACACTTCAATGAAATAATTTGAATTCATGGTCGTTCTACATAGTCTAGTACTTCATTCTCAATTAATAAAGCTGCTCGCTATCTAGAAGAGCCACTTTTACAGAAGAAGCTACCATCAACAATATACTTTTATTATGAATACTTGCATATTATCCTATTGAGAAAAAGGACTAGCATAGGTTTCAGGAAAATGAATGTTGTTTGAGAACGACAAAAACTAGAGAGGTAGACCTTGTGTCATTTTGTAGAGGAGCATTTGCGCTATCTTTTGCATAGTTTAGATATATAGGTCTCTGTGGAACTTTAAAAAACTGCGAGGTGTTCTTTGATAGGATTGGCACTGATGAAACTCTGA